GGTCCGTTCTTGCAGCAGCTAGAGTTCTTACTAGAACCATGAAGTATGACCATATTAGCCCAGTTCTGTCAACACTGCACTGGCTCCCTATTAAACATTGTATAGATTTTAAAATCTTGCTAATTACTTATAAAGCCCTGAATGGTTTAGCACCTCAGTACCTGAGCGAGCTCTTATCACATTGTAGTCCTCCACGTCTGCATCGTTCTCAAAACTCTGGCAATTTGATAATACCTAGAATATCAAAATCAACTCCGGGCGGCAGATCCTTTTCTTATTTAGCGCCCAAACTCTGGAATAATCTAACTAACATTGTTCGGTAGGCAGACACACTCTGTCAGTTTAAATCTAGATTAAAGACCCATCTCTTTAACCTGGCTTACACATAACACACTAATACGCTTCTAATATTCAAATCCGTTAAAGGATTTGGCTGCATCAATTAGGTCAACCGGAACCGGGAACACTTCCCATAACACCTGATGTACTTGTTACATCATAAGAAGAATGGCATCTACGCTAATATTAGTCTGTTTTTTTCTTATTCCGAGGTCACCGTAGCCACCAGATCCAGTCAGTTTGCAGATCAGATTGTCACTGCAGTCACCTGGATCCAGTTCGTATCCAGCCCAGATGGTGGATCAGCACCTAGAGATTACCTCTACAGCCCTGAATGTCAGCGGAGACCAGGACAACTAGATGAGCCCCAGAGACAGATCCCCAGTGAAGACCTCGTCACCTAAACAGCCATCTGGACAAGACCACGAGAACGAGATGAGTCCTCTGCACAATCTGACTTTGCTGCAGCATGGAGCAAACTGCTGGTTCGTCTTGCCAGAGGAGAACTGTCCCCCCGACTGAGCCTGGTTTCTCCCAAGGTTTTTTTCTCCATTCTGTCACCGACGGAGTTTTGGCTCGTTGCCGCTGTCACCTCTGGCTTGCTTAGTTGGGGACACTAAATTTCCAGCGATATCGTCAACTTGATTGCACAGATACTGTTTAAACTGAACTGAGTTGGACGATGACATCACTGAATTCAATTATGAACTGCCTTTAACTGAAAAGTGAGTGTTTACTATTGTCCCTTTGCATTATTGACACACTATTTTCCTATTTGATACTGTAAAGCTGCTTTGACACAATCTGTATGGTTAAAAGCACTATATAAATAAAGGTGACTTGACTTGACTCTAAGCATGGCTGTAGAGGCCACTTTTTGGGTTCACCCTTTAACATGAACCGTGGGGCGGAGCTGAACTCCTGAAATCTTTACAAAGGGGTTTGAGGTACAGAAAGGCAAACTCATCCCATACTTAAGAGGACAAACAGGGAAGAAAAGGAAACATTTAACTTTTTTAAAACTTTTTTTATCATCCCTCAAAGGGGTTTCATTATCCAACAACAGACACATAACATGAACATCCTAAAATGTGTAAACACAATAACACATACTTCAGTATTGAGTGTAAAGACAGCAAAAGTATGAGGCCCAGCATCATATGGAAAAAAAAACATGTGTAGTGTGTGTTTTGTGCTACTTGTATATGTGCTCCTCACCCTCTGAGTGGGGAAAAGCTAGACAAAACAAGCTAAAAACTACAGCTCATTATGGATGCCAATCAAAATCATAATGTGCTAGGGGTGTGACGGTACACATATTCGTACTGAAAATTTTCAGTACGGGTCTTTTGGTACGGTACGCATGTGTACCGAACAAATTTTTCATTTTTTTCAGGAAATTCAGACAATAAATGCCGTTTTGACGCTCATTAATGTGGCACGACATATCACCGTATACTAATGCCTCAGTTCTATTGGCAGCGTGGAGCGTGAGTGAGTGATCATCCCTTCCTCATTATTACTAGTTTTAACGTGAAATATACATGAATGAACATCTTACCCCTGACATAATTGCTCGATTAGCGTTTCAACCACGGAAAAACCTCATTAAAACAGCTTGTAAACAAAATGTCAAGAAGCATTTAATTTACCTCAGGCAAGTCATCAGTGTCCACAGCTTGTTATTTACTAGAGAAATGAAGTCTATAGTGAAGAGCATTTTGCGAAATATTAGACTATACTTCATTATATTTACTTTATCTGGTAGTGATGTCTTAATTATTTAATGTACAGTCATGGGCAAAAGTTTTGGCAGTGACATAAATTTTGTGTTTTGCAAAGTTTGCTGCTTAACCTGTTGTGGTGTTCATTCACATTGTTTCTAGATTATTGTGTAGAGTGATCAGATGCATTTTCAATAATTGCTAAAAGCTTAATTGGACAAAAAATGAAGTTTAAAAAAAAAAAATGTTGATCCTGACACAAAATGACCAGCTAACATTAATAAACTAATCATATCAGCAGAATGTGAAAGTGTGAATGAGTACTAGTCAGGTTTATCACTATCATACTAATTAGATTGTAAGAGCAGACTGATTGCTATAAAAGGAGGGAAGAAGCGCTTCCAATCATTGTGTTCTTGTTAGCAATGGTTACCTCCAAAGAAACACGTGCAGCCAACATCGCTTAGCATCAAAATTGCCTCACATGCAAGGAAATTGCAACAAAGAAGATTGCGCCTGAAAGAACCATTTACCGGATCATCAAGAACTTCAAGGAGAGCAGTTTGACTGCAGTGAAGAAGTCTTCAGAACGTCCCAGAGTGTCCAGCAAGTGCCAGGACCATCTCCTCCTGAGGAGTCAGCTACAGAATCGTGTCACCACCAGTGCAGAGCATGCTCAGGAATGGCAGCAGGTTGGTGTGAGAGCATCTGCACGCACAGTGAGGCCAAGACTTTTGGACAACGGCCTGGTGTCAAGAAGGGCAGCAAAGAAGCCACTTCTCTCCAACGTCAAGGACAGACTGAAATTCTGCAGGAAGTACAAGGATTGGACAGCAGAAGACTGGTGCAAAGTTATTTTCTCTGATGAAGCTCCCTTCTGACTGTTTGGGACATCTGGAAAATCAATTGTTCGGTGAGGAAAAGGTGAACGCTACCATGAGTCCTGTGTTGTGCCAACAGTGAAGCATCATGAGACCATTCATGTGTGGGGTTGATTTTCAACCAAGGGAGTGGGCTCTCTCATAATTCTACCCCAAAACACTGCCATGAATAAAGAATGATATCAAAACGTCCTGCAAGAGCGACTTCTTCCAACGATCCATGAGCTGCCTGAGTGCTGCCTTTGATTTGGTTGACCATGAGGTGCTGTTGACACGTTTGGAGATATCTGTGGGCCTTCGTGGCACAGTCTTGCAGTGGTTTCGTTCTTATTTAACCAACAGATGTTTTAGTGTTTGTATTGGTCATCAGACCTCCTCTTAACTGCGGAGTTCCACAGGGATCAATCCTTGGCCCGGTTTTGTTTACCCTGTACATGCTACATCTGGCTTCCATTTTTAACAAATATAAAGTATCCTTCCGTCTATATGCTGATGATACTCAGATCTATTTTCCTTTAAAGCATAATAAAAAAAAATGGCTTACAACCATTGTTGGTCTGTTTAAAAGAACTTAAAGCTTTGGCTCTCAAGTAATTTTCTAAATTTAAATGAAAATAAAACCAAAATAATTCTATTTGGGCATAAGGAAAATTGTGTGTTAGATGTTGACTGTGGCT